TAGGTGTTCTCTAACCCAGTCCTCCTTGACCAAGGGAAAATCTTCCTTCCACGATTCCTTTTCCCTGGTCAGAGATTCCTGAGGGCTGGTCTTTTCAGTGAAGACCAATGCAAAGAAGGCATTCAGTAAATCTATGGTCTCTGAATCCTCTGTTACCAAGGTCCCCCCTCCATTTAGTAATGGGCCCACAGTGTCCTTTGTTTTCTTTTCATGACTGATGTATTTAAAGAAGGCCTTCTTCTTATCCTTCACATCCTTGATCAGGTTTAATTCCAGGTGGGTCTTGGCCTTTCTCATCTCATTTCTACTTATTTTAGGACAACCAGCATAACTGTGAATTTTCATGTTCCTCACTCTTTCCCTCAGCTTTTATAACTGATCCTGATGGCATATGGTATGGGATATGTCTTTGGACACCTGGGGTCATTCATCCGAGTTGTCTTGGGTTATTTTGGTTGGTTGTTTTTTGGTTTGTTTTATTTCTCCCCCATCCCACCTACCCAGTTATTATTCTGCTCTTTTAGGTAATTTCAGCTCAATTTCTTTGCTTCCATGTAATCAAGGACTTTAGAGTGTACTTCAGCTGATCTTTTTCTTGCTTGCCATGTGAATATCTTCTGAATTGGATTTCTTCATATCTCACTATTCTCATCCATTTTCTCTCTTTTTACTGCATAGACTAACTCTCACTTTGCAACATCCTTCTAGACTGTCATCACCTGACTGGTCTGATATCCTAACAGTAGTGCACTGACTTGGCTTTGATATGAAAAGCGTATGTTCTATTTTTGGGATAGTTAAAATCAGATGTTTCATAGATTCTCCCTTTAAATGATTTTTATCTACATTGGCTCCAAAGCCTCCTGCATGTCTTTGATATAATTTAGAATGAAAAAGAAACATGATTTATACCTATATCTGGAGGATAACATCATTACTAGAAAGATTATGGGTTACTGTCCAAATTACTTTAAAAAGTAATTTGTTTATGCTGTCCTTATAGATGGTTCTATTTGTTTATTCGCATTAACAATAGTATTTTTCACTTTATTCCTATGTATTTCCTTCATTTAAAGGAATGCGTAGTTCATTTAGTTCATATAAGTTGTGGAATGCTAGAAAATTCTATTACTTATGCTGTGCCTCTTAAGAGAATAATGCTGCACTTGTAAAATAATTGAAGTAGTTCATTAATAAGATAAAATTAATACAGCAGGTTTTTTCCCTTGAGTATTTTTTTAATCCATACTTTAAAAAAATTGTTGAGAAATATATATACTGGAGGTCAAGACTCAGATTCCATCAAGATTCAGCATTTAACCTGTGTTAAATACATCTTTGATGGTTACAGCAATTATACAAACTTACAGTTTCAGTTGCAGGGGAAAATCTCTACCAAATCACTACAGACAATCTCTTATTCTAATCCCATTTCTAACTAATAAAATGTGCAGCTATTTTTTATGCAAGACCACAAATCCAAAAAAGGGCGGTTTTTACTAAAAAATTGTAAACTGCAAAATATTTTGAGATAATTTTTTTCTGAAAATAGAGGACAGCAGACCACATTTGACCTTTCACATGAGTTTCCGATGCTATTTATCCAATAGGATAAATTTTAGAGCACAAATTAATCAGTGTTCAAAACACATACTTTAAGTGTAGTCTTTATAAACTACTTCTTCTCTTCTTAGAATTTGGTTTGCTACGAGTTTTGGTGGTGGTCATTTTAAGTTATTTTGATGCTTGTTATGTTGTTTGTTACAGTAAAATAAACCAACTCTGATATGGGGTATCAAAGTATTATGTCCGTGAAGCTGTACAGAGCATTAAGAGCCATGAAAAGCATTCTGAACAGAGATCTTTAGAAATTACAAAAGTCTGTGACAATAAACTCTGTTGCTAGGAAACCAGAGCCACAGAAATTGTGTCTCCATTTAAAATAAGAATGCTGATTAAAAAGCATTCTCAACAGATAATGAATAAAGGTGTCAGAGGTATCTGTTGTGCCAAAGATCAGAGAGAACATTTAATTTGTAAGCCAGAGACATGTACCAAATTCTTTAGCAGCAGGCAATTCACCACAAGAATTTCAGGACAAGGAGGGAAGGTAATAAAACCTCAGACCCTACTTAAATCAAGAGTTGTAGTACATCATATTGCAGCTTCAGGAATTCTATATCCGTATATTTATTTTATATCTTTAAATTAAATTGAGAATGTTGTGAAGTAAGAGCTGTGAGGTTTCCTAGTTACATGGTTTAAAGAGCAAAGACAGGCTCTGAAGAACAGAGATGGCCTCCACTGTAAAAATATTGCTATGAAAGTTAAAAATGCAGGCAACATATTCAATTGGTTTAGTGCTGAAGAGAATGATGTAAGTGGTTCTTTTTCATCATATTTTTTTTTGGTGTAACATAGTAGAGTCTGTCAACATAAAATTTTCTTTGAGTTAATAATAATATGAATCCCAGACTAGCCTAAATTGAAAGCATGTGAGGCTATTTATTTATCAAAATAGAATCTTGTCAGAATATTCCAGTCTTTGTCATTAATGTTGTGAAGTCCCATTCTACCACCAAATACTTCAGAAACTCTTGTTTATCTTTTTTTTCATATCATCATAATTTTTATATGCTAAGGTTATTCCAAGAGTTTATTGTAAATCTGCAGAGTACTTCAGATAATTGAACTGGTACCTTAGAAATTAATATATAGACCATATTCTTAATTGTTTTCTTACTCTATCCCCTGTCATTAATTTTTTCTTTGGACTGGTTTCAGAATTAGGAGACATGAAAAAAAATTTCTTCATCTGATTGTCTCAAAATGTATAAAGTATTTCACCTTTTTCTTTATTTTTTTTATTTTTTTCCTATGAAGAAAAATCATTTATAAAGTCTGTAAGAAATATAGAAATATTTAAAATTTCATTTAGAATTTCCCTAATTAAAAATTTTCATTTTGCATACAGAAATATTTCAGAGTTAAAATACTATTTTAAAACTTGTTTATAACTTAAGTGTGGTTTGCAGACTTGCATATTAATTGAAGATGTTGATCTCTTGTTTACTACAATTCAGTAGTAAACTTACTTTGGTAAAAAAATGTTAATATAAACATTTTTCTTGCAAGGATGAATTTGACCCTTAGAATAATGGTATTTTTTTTGTACCTAAGAATGGAGTTTTCATTTAAACTTTGTTCCAGTTGCCTTTATAAAAAAAAGAAGGAAAAACAAGCACCTCAAAGTGAAAGCACAGACTTTGAGTTAATAATATGTCTTAGCTTACATGGCAAACTTTTTGTAGTGTGGGATCTGCAGGAATGGCTTCTGTGAGAAAACATCAGAAACTGTTTTCATGTCAGAGCCAGTTTCAGTGAGCTCCAAAATGGACCTGCCACTGCCCCAAGCTAAGCCAGTGAGCCATGTTGGTGGCCTCTCTGGAATGATGTATTTAATAAAGGATAAAAAAAGAGTGTGCACCAGCAGAGAGAAGGATGAGGAAAATCTGAAGGAAACATTAAGGTTGGTGAATTATGGGGGGGAGGGAGTTTCTCCAGTCTCCAGAGCATAAATTTCCCTGTAGTTCATGGAGGACCATGTTGAAGCAGATATCCACAGTGCAGTCCATGGAGAGTTAATCCCAGAGCGGGCTCCTGGCAGGAATTGTAGCTGATTGGAGTCCCACAGTGGAGAAGTCTTTTTCTGAAGGACTGTAGACCATGGAAAGGACCCACACTAGAGCAGTTCTTGAGAGATTTTGCCCCATGGAGGGACCTCACACTGGAGCATTCTGGAGCATGTGCAGAGCAAGAAGTGGCAGAGAGGACCTGCTACGGACTGACCACAACTCCTATTCCCCATCCTCCTCCACTTCTCAGGGTGTGGAGGAGGTAAAAGTGTCAAGAATGAAGTTGAGCATGGGAAGAAGAAATGTTGAAGTAAAGAAGTTTTCAGGTTTTTTTTTTAAATTTCCTACTACTCTCCTCTTTCTATCCTACTCTATTATTAATTGGCAATAAATTCTAGTAAACTTTCCCACTGCAAGTTGGTTTTTTTTGCTCATGTTGGTAACTGGCAAGTCATTTTCCTATCCTTATCTTACCCATGATCTTTCTACCATATTTTTCCTCCTGTCTTGCTAATAAGGGGGCGTGAGAGACTATCTTGGTTCACGTCTCTTGGCCAGCAAAGGTCAACCAAAAGCACCAAACCATATTGCTGCAAGTCAGCATAGAGTGGGAAATAGGTTTGATGTTCTCTTAGGACATTTATGCCTGGGATCTGAACCACGCATGTATCTCCATAGAAAAGTTTAAATGACAAACTATTAAGAACATCAACTTTAAACACAGCAACACCACTTTATAAACCAGCTGCGTAAATGTCTCTGTGCAGCACTTATGAAACAGTTACAAAGTATATTTACTTAGTTGCAGCATCTGAAATACAAATAAACAAGGTTATTGCTTTATTATAAACACCTAATCCTACAGGCAGTTGTGAATAAACAGTACTCCAATGTCATGTAAAATTATAATCTAGGACAAGAATGTTTAGTAATAACCTACTTAAAAAGAGTGAAAACCAAAAGTAATTAACTGCCAGCAGGCTTAGCACAGAGAGAAAAATAGGAAAAATCTTAAACCATTTCTTGAGGACTTTCAATTCACAAGAACTTGTGAAAAGTAACAGAGGAAACTGCAAATGATTTTTTTTCACAAAGCAACCATTCTCTATTTGGGAGAAAAATATATTCCAGTGTCATGGTTTTACTAACCCTTCCCTAGAACTGAAGATGTTTAGTTCTAGACGGGTTTCCCAGTCTGAGCCAATGAGAAGCTGTAGTAACGCCTCTGCGAATGACATATTTAAGTAACCAGAAGAGAAGGCTTGTGGTGCAGAAGAAATTAGAGATATGAAGGTGGTAGAGGGGCCACCAGGCCCCGCGGGGGCCAGGCCCACCCCCCCCCCTCCATCCCCGCCCTGGCCAAGGGGCAGAAGCAACACTGGAGCTGAGCCAGGCCCCTGGATGAGGTGTGCAGCAGAGCTCAGAAGAAATTCCAGACAGTGAGAGAGAAACTGCCCGGGAGTTCTCCCGCTGGCCTCGCTGCCTCCCCCCACCGCAGGGGAGGGGTGGTAGCAGGATGGAGTGGCAGCAACGCACGACCCGGAGTGGAGCGGGCCCGGAGCAGGCCTGGAGTGGCAGCAGCGGACGGCACGAAGCGTGCCGGGAGCAGAGCGGAGCGAAGAAGAGAAGCACAGCCAGGACTGCTACCACTGCCTCTCGAATTTGCAACAGAGATAGAGAGAAACCACGCTGAAGCAGGTCGATTCTAGGTGGGAATCTGGTGAAAATTATCAGGGTATAAAGAGGCTGACCTGAACCCCAGAACCTGCGTTCGGGGGGAGGGGTAGACCCGACTTGGAGGGGTAGACCCGACTTGGAGGGGTCCCTTCAGAGCTTGCTCCCCTGGGAGGGACACCATCCATCCATCCATCCATCCATCCATCCATCCATTCATCCATCCATCCATCCAGGAACAGGGAAAAGACTCAGAGCTTTAACTCCCTTTTTAACATTGGAATCTTTCCTAACCATTAAAACTAGCTAACAATCTAATCAGTGCAATTGTTAAAAGGAATAAAAAAATTACTGTTCTCTGTCCTGCATATTTCTTATGAGACTGTGTATTCATGAGCTAAAATATTACCAAAGGAATACCAGAAATATTAAAAGACCATTAGCTGAAATATTATCAAAAGAGCAGGTCACTGAGATGACCAGACAGGGAAAAATTATACTAAGTGTGGGGTTTGGTTTGCTTTTTTATTTTTTTATTATTTTTTTTTTTAATTTTGAAAAGCTTTTCCTCAAGAAAGACAATAAGAAAAAAAAAAGAACAATTATCTAAACTTGAGTAACAAAGAACTGTCTGAACAATGTAACAACATGTCACTTCCATGTCTCACTTTGATAGCATTTCCCACAAATTATTCTGTTCATCTCTGTAAGCAAACAGATAACTAAAAACAGAACACTAAACAGAAGTGTGTGACAGCATCAGGGAGAAGCAATCTCCTAGTTCAGTACAGTTTATTCAGTCTTTTGTTTAAGATAGTCTGTAAAACAGGGAATGATTTTTTAATTCGTATTTCTTTTAGTTTCCTTCTTCCCCTTGTCCCCCTTGAATATAGAAATATTATTTTGATTTAAACCTATCTTTCTAAAACTGAAATATTTAGCCTGTATATAAAAGGAAATGGACAAGTAGTACCTTGGTTAGCTGACAAAAACTATCAAACTTCATTGTATATAAAGTTCTTAATATTAATTATATTTCTGATCTCCAGTCCCTCAGCAATTTTGGAGTGGCTTTTCTTGCCTAACAAGTGAAAACACACTAGGCTAAAAGGCTTTTGTTGAGCTTAGTCATAATTGCCACTTACACTGTAAACAAAAGATTACAAAATAATCTTTAAATAAGAAATAATTTAATTTGAGAAATAAGCTCAACAATAAAATAAGAATTTCTGATGCTTCAAGAAATACGTTTAGTATAAGAGCTAGTGAGCTTTCCACTGAAAGATGTGTA